TGTTGTAAAAAATCATCCTTTTTTCTATTTGCCTCTGCTTTGCAATAGAATCCTCTATTTGCACCGGGTTCTGCTGAGCAAACTTAAGCATTAGTAGCAAGATTGTTAATAATGGCATTTCTTAATTTGAGACAACATTTAAGAACGAGAAAACTTAAATTGATCAAGTCACACAACTTTGCTCAAAAACACGTTGAGATTTACATTTAACAAAACATGGTTTTTCAATGTCAGTTTGATTTTCGGAAACAGCGGTTTACATCATCCTTTGAATGAACATGAATACGCCGAACATTATGAATCGATTTGCACAACCCAAGAGTCTCTTAGCAACAGTGTAGCTATCAATAAATAACGCCTTACCTGTCCTCCGTCTCCTAGGATTCTACGTGACAAAACCCCATGTAATATTACTGATTAAATGGGTGCATTGTTTTATGATTATTTTTCAGACGTGAGGCCGTTGGCAAGATGCGCCCTGGAATGGAACGTGACGGGTCCGCAAAGAGACCTGATTTTCTAGCGCTAATATGTAATCGAGACTACATGGGAGCGCTCGGCATTTTGACGGTAAGTGATTACGTGAAGTTTACAAACAGAAAGTGAGCTTGAGGCACCAGACGAAGGCTACCTTTCATTTATTGTCATAATGAGTCTCGTCTTTCGGAAAGATAATTTGGGCACTTTAATAGTCATTTTGAAAATTATCATAGCATCATAACAACACACTATTGTTGTTTCCCTTTATAAATTTTTTGTCATACTTTTTCTTCATTGTCTGAAAAAGAAAGAAGAAATGTCCAAAAAGCTTACGTAATCAGTTATTGCTTGATACGTTGAGCGGTCATTGATTACCCTCAGCGCAATGAACAAAACCCCCGTTGAAATGTCGATTTCCCTCACATGTTCATCATGGTTCTTAGAGCCAGCGTTAGCAGCAGTTAAGTGACAAACATGGGGTGTGATATCCTGTTTACTTCAAGCAGAGTGGTACTCGCTTGTTATTCTGAAACGGAAGGAAATCCACTGACTCGACTAGAATTCAACTCAGGGACCTCTCTCGTTTATGAATCTGACTTTCTACTGACTGAGAGCGGAAAAGCACAAAGCGCATTGCTTAAAGGTACAAATTGCGTGAATAAATTTCGTGCATTAAATTTCTTGCAAAATTAATGATTATTGCCAGAAGTTTTAAAGAAAAATTAAACTTCTGATGATTGCAATAGACAAATTGACTTTGACAGGTCAAGTTAGTTTCTTGACTCCTAAATGAGGTCGCAGATCATGTTTAAGTTTAAATCATGTCTAGGCAAAGGAGGAGAATAATTCCGCTCACTTGAGTGACAAGCTGTGGTCCGCATATTGCTACTTTCATCTGAACGATATCGCCAAAGCTGCAGAAGTAACTTTTGTTACGTTTAACAGCCAATCACGAGCTTTAAAACTTTCTGCAGATTTATGAATCGGTTATGGAGGAGGACGAAGACCGAGAGAAAATCCAACTCTACCTGGCATGCTGCTACTTGTTTCTGGGTCGTTACAAGGAATCGATCGCCTGTGCTGAAAGAAGTGTGAGAAAAACTGGACTGATCGGCACAGTCTTACTGAATCTTTGAAATATCTAAAAAATATAATAGGCGGCGACTGTTCATTGAAGCGCAGGGTTCTGATGCATGTGTATCAAGAATTGGGCAAATCAGATCAAGTAGAACTACAGATGAGGAAGTTGTCCGACGGCGTCGAAGATCAGCTGAGCATCGCGAGCGTCCATTTTCGTCGAGGGAATTATCAGGAGGCTATCGACGTGTACAAGAAGATTTTCCTGGAGCACACGTAAGTAAAAGTAAAATGGTTTATGATAAATAAATAAAAGCGTTAATTAAAAAACAAATAAATTATGCACATTATATGTTATTATACAAATTTACTTCGATGTAGCAACTGCATAAAATGGATCAATAGATGAACATTGTAATGCACCTGGCATTGGATGTAAATATCATAGATGCAGCGACTTTTCACTCAATCATCAAATCAAAGTACTGACTTACGTCATAATGTGATCTGTTCCCACAATAGTGCAGTTGCTTTTGACGATGCCATTGAGATCAGTATGATATGTAATAAAAGGCCTTGATTTAGCTTCATTGATTTATAACTTTATTGAATTCCATTTATGAATAAGAAACTGGAAAATATTTGCATGTGTTAACACCGGACCACAGCTAAGACGTATATTATACGGTGAGATTCGTTTTCAGAGAATTTCGCACCTATTAACATGTCTTTGCGCATGAACGTATATGATGGATCTTGGGTGAGATCAGATGAGGAGGCAAGTAGCAAGAAGAGGTAGAAAAGGTAAAAGGATGAGAAATAGAATGAGTACATTTTGTTGCCGGAATATATTAAACAACGATACGTGTCCACGAATTTTCACAGAAACTGAGATATAGACAAATTACCTTAGGTTGAAGCGTCATTTTGATCACTGTTCCGTAAAATAAACCAAAAACAAGTTGAATAAATTTTCGTTTTACAGATCATCATTAGTAAATAATTCGACTTATTACCAAAACTGATGTAGCGATCAGCCGTTGGGAGTTGAAATGGTCGTTTCATTACACACAGAGCAGTTTTGAAGACGCGAAGTTAAAATTCTACATGGTTAAATGATATCCTGAACATCAGGAGCCAGGGGTGGTGCCACACGTAACGAATATAGATTCTGTAAGAACTGTGCGTCCCTTAGTTGAAATTATCCATATGTTGCAAGTCTCCAACTATAATTGCTGTTGTATTACCTCACGTTTATTTGGAGATCGTCTGATCGATGCGCAGTTCATTATCTGCATGGCACTCATGCACAATGCCGATAAACTTTTCCTTCATATTTCTAGAGAATTCCTGGCACTCAATGTTTACCTCGCTCTTTGTTACTATAAGTCTGAATACTACGACGTGGCGTTGGTGAGAATTTGCTGTGTGCCATGTGAACCGGTCCTTCAAATCACGATTCTAGGAAGTGGTGAAAATCTACCTAGCGCAGCATCCGGACAGCGTTATTGCCGCAAACTTAAAGGCGTGTACCTTGTACAAGTTGTCCAACAGAAAAGCAGCATATGTCCGTACGCTTTATACCTCAGGTCAAGTTTTAATTTAAACTTTATTTCAGAATGAACTCAAAGCATTTTACGACCGCTCGTCGCTCAGCTCAACTTTTGTCAAGCATATTGTGGAACATAATCTGGTAATGGGCTTGGATCTTTCAGACGACGACCTAAGCAATTAAAACCTGTTTTTAATAATTAAGTTTGTTCAGTGTTGATTATCATAATGAATAGATTCTTTAATGCACACTGCGCAATGCCATAGACTGAACAAAATAATAGACCTATGACTAATATTTAGTCCGATACATCACAATTTCACCGTATACGTATTGATGCGTTTACGGTCAGCACTGATCAATAATAGCGACATTCAACTTTGAGGGAGGGAAGTTTATCACGTGCTGGTCGAAACGTCGATCCAACTTTCACCATTCATATAAATGCGTAATATTATATGATAAACGTAAGGTTGTCAACTAAATGGTATCATCAAAGAATTCTGCTAATGCAAAGAAATTAAATTACGTAAAATTTTAATGATAAATAAATATGTTGACGTGAAGGCAGATTTGTTTCCAGAAGGCAATTGCTCCTTCTACTATGCTTTATGGTAAAATTATCGAATGGCTCTGAATACAGCGGACGTAACAAACCGGATATGTTTTGCTTATGTAAATAGCTCAAGCTGCTGATCGCAACAAACACACAATGCAAACACCATCCACTATGTTTTTTGGTAAAAAAGAATTAAGCAGTTTGGTTCATTGCCTCTCTCACTAGTCTTACTGTAATGTCATCTTCGCTCTGTGACTCTTTCATTAAGTAGTGCCAAGTCATTACTTGGTGCAATACCGCAGCCAAGTTTCAGCGAAATTCAGCATAGTGGCAAAACAATCATACGAGCACCTTTGACGCACGAATCCGTTTACTACGGACTGAAAAGTAAAATTCAATTTCTGTTTTAAAGTTCACAAAATGGAACCTGGATGTTCTGGCTAGCAATCCGTTTTTTCACCCTTGCTCTTTCGAATTATGGCAATGTTTTTTTTGCTTGAACAAACTTTCCTTCAAACCATGTTGGAGACGCGGTCCTGCTTCCTGCGCACTCTAGGCGTTTAACTACCATGGAGCCATGGCCTGCCCCTACTAGACGTCTTGAAGCAAACGGGTGCTGCAATCAGCTGCTTGTGTAAAGTAAGAAATTGATCTTTCTTCATTTATACCCTATGTTCGCTGTTTCAATCCGGTATCAGTATCTTTAATGCAATTTCTGTTTACTGATATTTGTTTCATTCTATGATCCAAAATGGTAGAAGCTTTATGGTAGAATATTACATTTGATGAAAAAAACTATATTCGCAATTCCGGTACGGTCAACTCCACCGCTGCCGGCCCCAAGCTCGGGTGAGAAAGGAGGAGGGTTGGAGACCGTGGCAACTCTCCGTAAAATACAGCCACCTGCCACCCATGGTATTGACGTCCTCGAAAACTGTACCGGCTCGGTCATCGCCCCGCTTACCAAGGGCCGCGCATGTAGTTGGGGGACTGAGGCAGACTGAGAAAAGTCGGCGATCAGAACCTGCTCATTGCCTTCTGCCAGCCGGGGGCCAGGCAGCACAACGACGACTGACGAATACCGACGCAACGACGACGAAGATACCAGTCAGCAATGGAGTCGCTATCCGTTCTGAACGGAGGAGGCAGACAGCGCGATGCCATTACAGCACGTCAGAAAAGACTCCACGGAAACGA